AGTCGACTGAATTCAGAAAAGGATACGAGAGCAAGAAAAAACGTTTTTCAGTGTAATGAATGTGATAAGTGCTTTACTGCAGAACGCTACTTGATAAAACACGCAAGAATACACCGTGCCGCCGCGGAGAAATATCAGTGCGATGTTTGCAACAAATATTTTCCACAAATATCCCATCTACAGAGACATGCTACGATTCACACCGGGGAGAAACCACACAAGTGCCAAATCTGCGGCAAACGTTTTTCAAAAAATTATCTCCTGTCTGAACACAAGAGAATACACACTGATGAAAAGCCATATGAATGTCATACATGTGGTAGATGTTTCAGGGCGCACTGTGCCATGTTGAGGCACACAAGACAAATTCACTCAAATAACCCACTGCACAAGTGTAATAAATGCAAGAAAACTTTTAGTCTCAAATCTAACCTACTATATCATGCGACACAAAAACATCTGAATTCTGATGACAATATATATCGATGTACAATCTGTAATATGAGTTTTCACTTTCTAAGCAGTTTCAGAAAACACACAGAGGCGCTAACTGGAGAGATACCCTGCCAGTGGAAAGTATGCAATAAATTTTTGAAACATACAAATGCTAAAAAACAACAAATACGGACAAATGAAACACCTTGTACTTTCTCATGCTATGCATTTGAAAAGAGAACAGAATACACAAGATACACAGGATTACAAGAATACCGTGTTAGATATTTTGCAGTCTAAATAATCTGACCAAGAATAAAAAAAAAAAATAGCATAAAATGAACATGATTCGTTTCTTCGAAACCATGAAAATGGCTGGCTCAAGACACTGGAAATTTATTACACAAACGCAATGTTTGTTTTTGGTGACAAATGAAACCTTGTCACATGGCAATGCTTTGAACAACAATATTTCTGTTATTCAAAACACTACGTCATCAGGCATTCATTACTTGCATTCTTACTCCCATACACAACAGTGTCACCACACACATACATCCACGTACAATAAAGATTTCCTTATTTTATTATCGAAAAAACAATTTTGAACTTAGTTTATGTTAAACGTATACTATCTCATTTGCATCAAAGGATGTGCCACATTGTTACTAAACACTGCATTAAACAAACTTTAGAGATTATTACAGTAAATACTGTAACACCATGTATGTCACAGAGTTGTCTACTTCACTTTGTAGCATACCAAGTTCAGAGTTTTCCAAGAGCCCATTCTGTTCTGTAAATCAATTTCCATTGGTCAAATATGTCCAGTTGTTGTGGCCTTTGAGGAATGAGATCGCACATCTCCATGCATAGATATTGAGAGTTGTGTAGAAGTTGCATTAAAACCGCATTTACCGGTTCATCACATACAACATTAAGATATCGACCACAACATCATTAATTTAATAGCGAGACTAACTCCTACAAAACGTGTTTTGAAATATTCGCTCTGAGCATGACAACTAATTAGAATAATTAACAGGTAATTGACACAGTTCCCATTGTGTAATAGTAAAACATAAACTCATAATAGATTTCTCCTTGTTTGGTGAAGTCAATGTAAAAGTACATAAGGTTGAGTGATAAATTGTGGTGTATTTTTAGCACTAAAAATGGCCGCCATTCATGCATCTTGAGGTAAAATAAATGTATATTCCAAGACGTATAAATGTAAAGCATTAACATGTTTGATACAGTCATGTCAGAAATACAGGTGCAGATGAATGTAAGCAAACTGGTGAATCTTTTAAGTTATTTTGTTGGTACTTTGTTTGAACAACCTAATTTCTTTCATATATCACACACAGATACGGTAACAACTTTTTCAATATTTTGTACACCTGCAGCTACCGTTAATGTTAAGTACGTTTGTGTATAATACCAGATCCTATGTTTTATGTGTGCTATTCGAAAATGTGAGTTGACCAATTAGTTTGGACTGTTTACACCCTCAGCGGCAGAAATGAGAATAAGTCGCATTTCATACATGTACAGTAAGACACTTTATCTACAAGACATACAACAAGAATATCACAAGAACACTGCCAACGAATAATACTTCGAACACAAAAATTTGGCTCGGCATTGCTTATGTGTAGTTAATTTTTGACCAAATTCAGATAATGTTCTAAAACTTGCAGGTCTGTATCAAATTTTTAAAAAATTATGCAAATTTATTCTGGTAAAGTTGGCAAAAGTTTACTTAGATATTTAATGGGTCAAACAATAGATTTTGTAATTATAATGAAACAAAGTCGTTCAAGTGCGAAAATAAAAATGTATCAACACAAACATATCTGCAAATATAAATATTTGTAATTATTATTTTTATAATACTGCACATTTTTTGACACAATTTCGTGAAATTTTCACCATATTGACAATTTTCAAATGACTATATAAACCAGTCATTCATAACTCATCTAAAAATCTGTTTTTCTACCAAGTAATATAATAAATAAAGCAGACAAAAACAATTACAATTCTAATATATTATTCAATTGGTGTGATTGAAAATACAGAACGAAAAATATATACACATAAATTCTGAAAGTTTTTAATTTGCTCCAACAGTAAAGTAATACTGGCATACATACTCTCAATAAAAAGTATAACCATCTACGATTAATCCCTCACACTTAACTACCTGTATTATTGTGGGACATTAAGCCTTTGCGCACCATTGCCATCATCTAAAAATTACTTTATACAGTCTGTTTTTGACAAACCTTTTGATCAAAAACTAAAAGCAATATCTGAAACAGTCTGTATGGCCTATAATGGTTATCCCACCATCAACAGAATGATTTTATAGTCTGCTCCTCTGTTCATGAAATGTTGATAAAAATTGACAAACCTTTTGGTCAAAAACTGAAATATCTGAAACAGTCTGTGTGGTCCAAATTGGTGAAAAAAGTTAGTGAAAATTTTGGCAAAATGTGAAAATATTTCCATTGAATTTTCGGCAGGAAAAATATCTGGCACTCAAAAGGGAAACATAATTGAAACAAGAATAATATAGTAAAACCTGAACAGTAAAGGAACTGAGAAAGTTCTCTTTAAGCACTTTACACATTTTTCAAAAGTTTCAATCAAAACATTTGGTCAAAAATTAACAAAGAATTCACAGATATTATATAGAGGAAAAGAAAGAGAAATTAAAGTGTTCAACAGGTTAAAGTGATTGGAAAAAAATATAATTTGTTGACAAAAAATTTTTATGAAGGGTTACATGTTGAAGACATTCTTAGTTGTACAACAGCTGCAATACTGACTGCATGTACCAGTATAATAGTGGAAAGCTTGCTGGTGAATTGAATGGGTATGGCAACTTGTGTTGCTATATTCCCCAAATACAGAGAAGTATTATCATAGTAACATAGTTGTTCTTATTTTTCAAAATATTCACTTGAAAAACGTCGGTCTGTTGCTAGCTTAGAAAAAGTCTGTTGATCTGTTTGACCCCAAATAAAATAAATACTTTTCTAAATTATTAAGTTCAGACAATTCGATTGCTGCACAAAGTGTACCTGTCTATATCAGATAGTGAATCTTTTGTTTTGTCCTCGTCTTTCTGTTGCTCTGGTAACGTATTGAGAGATGGTATCGACGGTAATTCTTCTCGTCCAAAACTCTGTAAGCTAATTGAACTATTGGACTGCATTGATTCTTTGCAGTATAGTGACTCTACCGCACGTATCTCTGTCGACAAAGACTGCTGCGTGGGAGTGCCGCTAAAACTTTTACTTCGTCCGTGTTCAGGTTTCTTTTTCTCGGGTTCAGGTTCAGATCTTTTTACTTCATCAACATAGTCACATGCTTTACCAAACAGTACAATACTGTTCATTACTTTGAAAGTCGTCAGACTGTAAAAATTAACAACAATATATTATTTTTATCATATCAATTTCTGCAAAAACAAAATTTTTGATCGAAAGACCAGTAAAAAAAAGCATTTTTTATGAAAAGCTGTGCAATAGATTAATGGTCAAAACAATTATCTCTATATTAGTTGACTATTAATTGTAATACTGAACATAAATTGTATTTTCATCACCAGAAATGTTAACTTTTCATTAATTTCTATCAATTTTGATCAAAACAGTTCGCAATGAAAAATGGTGTTAATTTGGTCAGAAATCAACGAAAAATAATTATAAAAAAAACTTGTTCAAAGTGTTTAAAGAACCTGCTACAATAATCACTGAGTTGTTAAATGAGGTAAAATTTGTATCTCACAAAACAACATTTGTCATAAACTTGGCAAGTGTCTGAAACTGATCACATCCCCAAATGCGTTACTCAACAACTTTTTGTTGGGAATCCCAGAGAGAAACTTGATTGCCTCAAATCCACAACAGTTGTTAACGCATCTGCTGCTATTTTAGTTATTGTTCACTCATTTGTTTGCCTGCCTCAAACATCTTTTTGAATAATTAATCACATGATGTAATGCTTAGTGATGTCATCTGACTTCATGAATAATTAATCACATGATGTAATGCTTAGTGAGGTCATCTGACTTCATGAATAATCACATGGTGTAATGCTTAGTGATGTCATCTGACTTCATGAATAATTAATCACATGATGTAATGCTTAGTGATGTCATCTGACTTCATGAATAATTAATCACATGGTGTAATGCTTAGTGATGTCATCTGACTTCATGAATAATTAATCACATGATGTAATGCTTAGTGAGGTCATCAGACTTCATGAATAATTAATCACATGATGTAATGCTTAGTGATGTCATCTGACTTCATGAATAATTAATCACATGATGTAATGCTTAGTGATGTCATCTGACTTCATGAATAATTAATCACATGATGTAATGCTTAGTGATGTCATCTGACTCCATGAATAATTAATCTTATGATGTAATGCTTAGTGATGTCATCTGACTTTATGAATAATTAATCACATGATATAATGCTCAGTGATGTCATCTAATTTCATGAATAATTAATCACATGATGTAATGCTTAGTGATGTCATCTAATTTCATGAATAATTAATCACATATAATGCTCAGTGATGTCATCTAATTTCATGAATAATTAATCACATGATGTAATGCTTAGTGATGTCATCTAATTTCATGAATAATTAATCACATATAATGCTTAGTAATGTCATCTGACTTTATGAATAATTAATCACATGATGTAATGCTTAGTAATGTCATCTGACTTCATGAATAATTAATCAAATGATGTAATGCTTAGTGATGTCATCTGACTTTATGAATAATTAATCACATGATATAATGCTCAGTGATGTCATCTAATTTCATGAATAATTAATCACATGATGTAATGCTTAGTGATGTCATCTGACTTCATGAATAATTAATCACATGATGTAATGCTTAGTCATGTCATCTGACTTCATGAATAATTAATCACATGATGTAATGCTTATGAGGTCATCAGACTTCATGAATAATTAATCACATGATGTAATGCTTAGTGATGTCATCTGACTTCATGAATAATTAATCACATGATGTAATGCTTAGTGATGTCATCTGACTTCATGAATAATTAACCACATGATGTAATGCTTAGTGATGTCATTTGAAACATTAAAAGTTTGAGTAAAAACTCACCATAAATAGGACAACACCAAAATCACAACACCAAGTATATTTGGTGGTAGCTTCATTGATTGACTCACAGTACGATATACCTGTTGTAAAAAAAATCAGTCATCATACTGCATCTGTTTATCTGTTTTTTGTATGGGTACACACTACCTATCGTAAGATATCATACATTGTTTGTTAACATAATATTCAGAGGGACGGATTCAGGCATACGGCCACTCATGTCCGTGTGGTAGTCTGGTAGATTCACCAGAAAATACGAAAAACAGCAAGAATTCTGCAGAAATTGAATGCCATAACAAATATTTCAGTCCTGGGCAGTACTCAGTTTCAATCCCTGGATCCGCTGCTGATTCAAATGCATGATGTCCAATGCTTAAACCATCAGATGTCATAATTTTCACAGCAACATTTTTGTGTAACATTTCGCAGTGTTTTTTTATATTTCAAATAAGTGATTTTATTACCAAATATAAAGTCAGAGGTCTACTATTCGCTAAAATGATGCAGGTTAAATTTTATGATTGTTTTCATCTATGGCAACTGGTGTAAAGAATATATTAAATTAACGTACTAGACAACCAAGTGGAAGTGGAATAAATCCCATACGTCGAGCTACAAGATCTGAATGATCTGAAAACGCCTGAAAAAACAAGAAATACCATTTAAAAAAATACATTATGCTATCAAATATGATTTGAAATGTAGTTCATTCAAAAAAGATGCATATTATTTGCATATTACAGTAAACATCACATTTTACACATACTGTACAAGAGCGAAATATTCACTGGGTTAAATTTCAGTGGATTTGATATTACAGGGATATTTGCTGCATTTTAAATTCAAATACAAACTATTATTAAATACAAATATTCACTGGGTTTTAATTTAACAGAATCATTGGTGGCCATCAGTGTAATAAGCAAAACTAAAATCTAGTGAAATAAAAACTCATACAGTATGGTTGTTTATGGTAAAATCTAATGAGAACAAAATACTATTTTATTGATCTAATGTTACCATATACTCACATTTATCTGCCGACTACTGATCATATCCCGTGCGAGACTCACTCGATATTCCTGATAAACCTAAAGTGAGTTCAAAAAAGTAAATAAGAAGATATCAATTGCAGGCAAACATTTTATAAAAATAATTCTGTTTAAATGATTAAATAATATTTCACACCATCTCCAATAGAAAGTGTACGTCAACCAAAATTGCATTCACCATATGCTGAATAATTAGTGGATATTTCATGAGTGACCATGTGATATCAGATTTATTAAAGTTTAGTGATTTTAATAATGTTCCAAGTCTTTGACGAAAAACATATGAATCGACTCATTTAAAGAATCTGATATCACACAGTCACAACTTCAAGACCCTATTTATCTCATGTATTTGTTTCACAGCTTTTTTGTCATCATAAATACATCGGAATAATAAACTTTGTGAGCGCATCAAAAGATTCTTAGCATGTTCGGTGTTGTATTAATCTCAACGTTCCTTGTAAAATAATTGTATAAAGGTTCTCAAATAATAGTGCAGTACCCAATATATATAAAGCCAAAAAAATACTCGCCAGTTTTCAAAAAGGTGGGAAAACACTGAAACTTTTCACTTTTTTGATTTATACTAACAAAAATTGATTTACCTTTATCTAATTAACGGATCTTGGAGAGAATATTACATCTGGTTCTCATTATCGGCAGTACAAATGTCTTTATTCTCTCCACTTATTTCTATGTCTAATTTTTGTCTTATTTCAGTCAAATTTCACCCCATGATATTGCACTTGCTAGTTACACCAAAATTGAACTTGGTTGAAATTTTTTAGTGAATAATAAGATTTCCAAATTTGAAGATGATCAGATTAAAATTGTTTGTGTTATTGTAACTACAAAAGAAGACAATTTTAGGTAAAATTTAACCAATATTGTAAAAAATATAAATAAAACGCGTACAAAAAATAACTGGGGAATATATTATCCTCATATCGGTATACATCAACCTTCATCTATGATGATACAGCCATGGTAAAAATGACATTAATTTTAGTGGGTTTTTAATGATGAAATACGTTTTTATTGTGGTCTAGTATGGCAACCACTTTTAAATTGCTATTCTAAGCATAATATTTGAGTTTTTCTCAAAAAACAGAATTACCCCTGGCAGATGGATTTCTCAGATTTGTTCATTTTGTGATAATATCTTCAAAGCTCTAATTTTCATGAATATTTTTGTAATTTTTTCGTAAATAGTACCATATTTTCTTGTAAACAATTGCTTTAATATTTAACATGTAGACCTTAGTCAATATTGTTCATTTTCAAAGAACCTTAGTAAAATTTGTTCATTTTCGACAATACCTTCAATTTTCTAATTTTATCGAATTTTTGAAAAATGCTATTTTTGACTTCTTGAAAATGGCTACCCTACTAGCTTTGATAATTTATATGTAGAAACCTTGACAGATTTGTTCATTTTGTGACGATAAGTTATATTTTTTAATTTTAGTGAATATTCTTGTCATTTTGGGGAAAACCGTTACATGCCCATATAAATCCCGTTCAAATCACAGCTAGTTTTTTTTTATAATGGCCAAAAGCGTTCTCATTGGAGGAAATAATTAACAAGAAAAAGATCGTGTTGCATGGCATGAGTTTCATTTTGAAGACAATCATCTCAATCAAAAGTTGGCCAGGGAAAATGTTGTTAGAATCTTAAACATATTTTATTGAGAGTTGCACAAAACATGGCCATGGACATGTAACATCTAGATTGTCATTGTTCTGGTGATCTAAATGTGTGGTTGATTGCCAAAGCCCTATCCAGCAGGAATTATTTGGCTATTACGATCGACACATTTTTTGTCAATAGTACAGAAAAATACAACTGCATATTTTAAATTTCTTTGACATAAAGAATTTACAAATGTATTTGAATGGACCTATTGTGTACTTTATTTGCAGTAACATTTAGTGTGACTGCATTATTATTACTGTCACTCGCACCTCAAATTGGTAAAGTGTGAGAAGCACACACTTTTCGCAGTTCTCAGCGGTATTGGTGATAATTTGTTCTGCCATGTAGATACATTTTGTCGCAAATTGTTTGTTGGCCTTTGATAATTTTCACCACTTATCAGTTGGAACTTGGATTCTCGCCATTAAACAGTTTTTATTCACCACCACGTCAAAAAATATCAGTTATTGGAGAGGATATCAAGTGTAGATGAGCTGCGAGAAAGTGTCAGTTTCTCGCTCTAGTATAAATTTTTTTGCAATTCATACTTTTTAGTGTAGCAATACTCTATGAGCAATTTTCCTGTACATTATATTTTGCCCACCAAATCATGTACAACTATAAATTAATAGAAAATTAGTAGTATATTTATTATTCACAAAAAAGATTCCACAGCATTTTACAATTCTTGTCATTACATTGAATAGAATAGAATACTACGTTATTGATACCGTAAAGAAAATATTATGGACATCAATCAAGTTGAAAAAGTAAGTAAAAATATATAATATTGAATATATAAATACATATATTGAATTATATATATATATAATGAATGTTTTTTTTCATTTCCAACAAATGTACACACTTCCTGCTGCATCATCACCAGCCAAGGTTCGTTTATTCAGTCATCGCTTCAACTTTACACCAAACACTGAGCAAAATTAACTAAAATGGAAACAAAAAAGAAGTAGATTAGAACAATGTATTAAAACAGCTACAGTAAACAATACAACAATTAGATCCCAAACTGATTTTAAATTGGAGCTGAACATTGGAGCAAAAAAAATATCTCCTGATCAACTGTGATGTGTTCCAAATATAAAGAAATATTTTATTTCAGCTCAATTACTTCAATAAAGAGTTATTGTACATTATGTTGATATATTTTGATTAATATTTACAGCTACGGCTTTAATACCGTGGACGCTTTTGGTCCGATTGTCAACAAAACATCACCCGTCTCCATGGCAAGCGACCGGAAAAAGTTGGATATATCATGGATCTAGGGTTTATAGTTCCATGGATATATTAACCGAACCGATATAAAAACAAATTGTCACTTCCGGAAAGACCATGCAAAATAACGACCTAAATTGAAACCATTATGATTTAAGCCACAATATAATCATAAAACTCATATATGATTTTCGCTGCATTTGACAATAATAAACCATGGATAAACTTACCGAAAAGCCGTGTTTTCCCGATCGTTCATCGCCAGCATCGGTATAATCCGCCATTTTATTTGAATGTGTTTATGACCTGACTCTGACCGGTGACGTCATCAGTTAGCTAGCCAGAGGTCTCGTTGAAATCTCGTTACATAGGCATTGGTTCAGAAGTATGTGGCGATAGTTAAAAAAATACCGAATCACAAGTACGTAACAAAAACATAAAAAACAATAAAATAAATATATAAAATAAAATATATATAACCATGGAGGTAGAAATTACCTCCATGATATAACTGAAGGGCACTATACAGTCAGCGGTTTCTTTTGCGAGCAAGCTAGGGGGCACTAAACAAAATGGCTACTGTAAGTGCATAGAACTAATCTGAAGGTTAGTACAATATGAGGAAATTCTGACGATATTAACTCACAACAACCTTGAACTGTACAACCTCACTGTCACTGTCACTGCCAAAGTATAGCATAGTAGTGAGTCAATGAGATGCCAGAATGTAAAGACTGGAGGAGATTCACGTAGGTAAACACGACGAAAACAGTGAGAATAGGACTCGGAAGTGGCAGAGTAATTTACACCGACTACAACATGGATACTGACTACTATATGTGTGACATATGCGGCAAGTGTTTCACCGAGACTGCAACCCTGGATCAACATATGGAAACGCATGAAAACAAGAAACAACACCAATGTAAAATATGTGATCTGCGTTTTTCTTTTTCAAAAAACCTAAAAGAACACATGAGAGTCCACACAATAGAGAACTACTCTGCTCTGAGTGGATTGAATTCAGCAACTCCGAAAATTCAAGTGAAAGAAGACGGTCTCAAATGCAATAAATGTGATAAATGTTTTACTGCCAAACACTATCTAACACAGCATGTGAGAATACATTGTCGCCAGAGTTCATACACTTGTCCAGTCTGTGATAAAACATTTAACGCCCTATATGACCTGAACAGACACGAGAACACGCACAGTGGAGAGAAACTATATCAGTGTGAGGTATGCAGTGAATATTTTTCCAGAAGATGCTTTTTACGAGAACACGTAAGAATACACACAGGCGAGAAACCGTATGAATGCAAAATATGCAGTATGCGTTTCACAGCAACAAGCGGCCTGTCCCAGCACAAGAGAATACACACTGGTGAAAGGCCATATCAATGTAACATATGTGGTAAATGTTTCGCACAGCAGAGCACGCTGTCCATGCACACCAGAGCTCATTCAAATGAGCAACACAAATGCAATAAATGTGAGAAAAGTTTCACTCGCAAATCCAACCTAAAATATCACATGATGAAAAAACATCTGAATTCTGGTGACAATATTAACGTGTATCAATGCAAGATATGTAACATGAGTTTTCACTACCAAAGCAGTTTAAAAGAACACACAAAGACGTTAACAGGAGAGATACCATGCCAGTGGAAAGTATGCAATAAATTTATGAAAGCAACAATCACTAGAAAACAAACACCATCCAAACTTTATACTTGTTCTCAATATGCAATTGAAAAAATAGTGGAACACGTAAGGACATAGGATTACAAGTATTCCGTGTTAAATATTTTCAGTATAAATATTCAAAAACTGTTAAATAAAAATTTTTTAATATTCCATACAAAGATAGTTTTTGTTTTTACATTTGTAGATTGACTACCCAAGACTGACTTGACAAAGTATGATCTTCTATACTACATGTGATGTATACTGGATGCGAGATATCTGGGTCACATCTAGCGTAACCTTTGTATCTTGATATGACGCATCACGGATGCAAAGATTTTCAGTAATGTACCTAGTTATGCTCATTCCCTGGTGACCCAATAAAAAATTGTACAACTTGTAAACAGAGAATTTCAAAAACATCTTTTATCACTTTTAATTGGAGTTTTCTTTTAAAAGTTGCATTTCTTGGATGCTTAACTTACATAACAATTTCTTCTAAAAAAAGTATAATTACAGATAGATTCTTGTCTCTATGTTTGTTAACCTGGGTTTTTCTTTTCGTTTGAATTCCAACAAGTGTATTTTCATTTAAATGTTCCTATAAGTTAGTGTTCATGTCCATTAAATTGTATCTTGAAAGTTATCTACATATTTTCTTCATTTTTTGTTGGGGGATCTGGTTTTGTTTTTTCTCTTAGCATGTACAATTCTGTTTTTTGTATTGTTTTCACATACTGTTTTAAAAACATGAAAATCTGGTTTGATTTTTTCACACCGAGATATAATACCGGTATATGTCATTTTCCTAGCAGTACAAGAAAATTGTGAGACATGAGAGTGATTCATCTCCAAATATAATCTGCCAGTCTTTGAGTCTGTGCAGTAAATCTATTTTCCCTCCCCACAGCATTAAAAGACTTCCCCAAAACATCTCTACACGTGACATTTGTAAAACAGGTATATCATTGGTTCCTCTTCTGATTCACAGAATGTACATTGTGCACTCTCCACTCCTGATGGTTTCATTTTGAATAATTTTACATTGTGGTTATAACATTATGTAGGATCTTAAACTGAAATTCTCTTAGCTTTGTATCTATAGTTGCTATCAGTGGTAGTCTGTAAAAAGATTCCCAACTGTCTATGTTGATATTTAATTGGTGCATAAAGTAAATTTCAAATCAAGGGTTGATAAACTGGTTTTCAATTATTTTTTGAGTTAAATTTCTAGTCATACAATCTTCCAGTCTGACTTCTTCTTTACCAAAAGTAAGAAAACTTTCCGTCTGTTCTGCATCGTACTCTAGACCCATCCCGTTCTTTGGTATAACACTCATTAGCCCAAACCATTTTAACAAAGAAGACTGTGGAACCCCCTTTCATGTAATTTTGTGACCATCCCTATAGCTCCACACAAACAAAACCTGACCATGCTGTTAGCATACATCTTAAAAATCTAGTTATTTGTAGATTCAGTGAATTCACCTTGAAATTATATTTTAAAAGCAGATTTTATCAAAAACATCTTATGGAATATATAATTTGATGAAATGAAAATAAGTATAAAACAAATTAAATCAGGTGTCATAACACTCAAGTTCCAAGAATCTTCTCATCAATAACCTAAAAATTTTGTTGTGTCATTTGGCCATGTCATCAATAACAACAAACTCGCGACTAAAACCATTTTGTTGCATTTCCCATAGTTCTGTGATGCAATTTTAAAATCCTAAAATATTATGTATTTTAGCCGATTTGCATATCAACAATGGAAATGCCAATATAACAGGTGCAACAAAATATACTTATGTAAACAAAAAAACCTATGTAATAAAAATGTTAACTTACATCAGCAGGTATTTCATTAAACTTTGTGATGAATGCATGTTTCACCCAATCTACACAGACTTCAGCCACTAGTACAGTCAGGACATCAGGCATCAGTTCCCATAAATGATCTACAATCAAACATGTAATTGGATTGCACCGCCCTCATGAGTTTAGCCAGGTAATGTATGACTCAAAATATCATTAAGCATTTAAATGAAAAATATTACTCCTGAGCCAATTAGCCAAAAAAATGTTGTTTCCTTTCTTCTTTCCAAGAAAAATTTTAAAATGATGCAGTGGTTTAAATTAGTATTTAATACATGACAACATTTAACATATCTTAAATTTTGCTTTATGCACATACAAAACATCCTATGAAACAAAACAAAATATATTTCTCCCATTCAACCAAATGTGGCACACTTTATCGAAACACAGAATTTCCAAAAAAATATGTGAGGTGCTGTTTTCCATTTGAGACACGCGACGATGAGGAGAAGTTATTTGAAACACTGTAAAAATCACAACCACATGAAACTAAATTGCTCACTCCGATTGTAAAATTGATCTCGTGTTCATAATTCAATGTGTGAAAATTAAGAATGATCAATCAAGGGTAGTCTGTGTCCTCATCCATGAAGACAATAAAAATAATAATACGTAATTTATAAAGCGCCAGTATCTAAAACAAGGTGATGTTCAATAGCTGTACATAGATGAC